GAGCTGTTCCTCCACTCCCCTCCGTGTCATCATGGCATAATGCTTCCTTCTTGGTCTTCTAACAGGCTGTTTTTCAGAGATTTTCCCATCTAATTTGTATATGCATTTCTTGTTTTGTGTATCTGAGCTGTGTGTCAGTGCCCCCGCTGTCCTAACAACACTACCTGAGCTGTATAAATCACAAAGTTTCTTGTTGTGTCATATTCTAAATTGCACGTCTCCTCCATCCATCTGAAGTTTGAATATTTTGAAGATGTGACTTGTACTACACTTACTACTGACTCAGAGACTTTTGTAATAACAGTGATGAATGTAAGAGCTCTGCAGTAACAGGCAATTTCATGACCAGCTTGGTAACTATCAGCTGTTTGAGGAAGACCCTGATCATACATTGACTCAGTCACAGTGAGTAACCATATCTCACACCTGTAAGAAGCAGCTTCTTTGCACATGCATATTTTAGTGGGTGGGATGACCGGTTTATGTTGCAGCGTGAACCAACTACTGCGACAGCACTCGGAGCAGACCGTGGCCAGCTTCCTTTATCTGCCAGTGCCACCTCATGGAGAAGAAGCTGCAGTATATCCCACTTATCTGCAGCTGCTCACAGAGTTAACGGCTGACTTGCCACCCACTGTCCTGGTGCACGGTGTAAGTGCAGTCACGTCCACAACATTGTAAGATGATGACTGCCGGAATGCACGTGGCATAATGCAGGAAGATGGAAATACTCGTATGTGGTGCTGTGGTTTTGTACCAGTCTTCATCTTGCATGTTTCTCCATGCAGGTGAGCCAACCAGAAGAAACAGAGACTGTCACTTTAACTACGATGTGAGATTCGAGGTTGTCGTGGCAGTGAAGATGACAGTGTTGTTCTGGGTGATGGAGCCATGTAGACTCGTAGGTAGGTACCAACATTTTGGAGAAACATACCGTCTCCAAAACATTGGTATCTACCTATGAGTCTACATGGTGTTATAACCCAGAAGAACATCATCATAACTTTACTATGTTTTGTAGCGTGCGGTTGCCGGAACTCCATGGCATGCGAACGGTTTCTCCATAACCTTTGCTGTACACATTTGCCAGTATTAATTTTCTTCTTGGTTCATTTTTTGTGTCTAATTTAAGCCATTTTTCCATAATGGAATGGATGTTGTCTGTGCGGAGAAAAACAACAGTTTTGCAATATGATTTTATCAGTGGAGACCGAGTCATTGTTTTAACTTTTATATGCCTTTAATACTGCAGATATTTTAAAGGCTTGACAACGTTTGCTGAATTGCAGGAACAGATTTTGAAATTATGGCAGACTGAAACACTGATCTGAAGACATGATAAAACAATCAAAAATCTATAGTGACAAGTTGAACATTGTAACATTGGACCCCAGCATGGAATGATCTGTATTCATATGTAATAATGAACTTCTAATTTTGCGTAATATCCCAGCAGTATAATTCAGTATCTAAATCTGTTAGTTTCCACTCATTCTCATTAGTAATAGGGACATTGATTTATTTGCTCTGAAAATCATTAACTGACAATATATGAAACAGAGAGTGTTCAAGAGTAAAGATTTTGCATAATGAAGGTATTTTTAACACACTTGTTTTAATAGCAAACTGTTCAAACCCATCATAAATCAGATTACTGTTCACCTATATGAACTGTAAATGATGGTTACATGCATGACTATAGGCTAGGTACACAGTTTTTCTTGTAAAGACCTAAAAATTTGGAATTGACTCATGAATTGACCATTCCATGCATTTTGACATGACATAATCACCTAAAAGTGTAGAGTTGTAGACCATTTTGTTTTGTATTTAATCTAGGAAATCACTGGTTTTCTGCTGTATTTTGTAACAGAAACCATACTTGCTGTTGTGTTTTTACTTCTATCAGTAATATTTAATAGGTAAAAATCCTCAAAAACAGTTCTGAATAACAAAAGAAATTATAATTAGAAAGTGATTGAAAACAAATATATTAGAAAATCATGTTAAGTTGTACATTGGTGGCTGTCAAATGCAAAGATGTGTTATAAACAAAGTTTCTGATCTGTTATATACGATAGAAAACTAATTTCTTGCCATCAGCGACATTGAGCGTAGCGGAACTGCATATGACACACTAACTTTTATTTGGTTCCAGATATTCTGGAGTTTAGTCTGGTCAAATTGCGAGTGACCAGTCTTCTGGAAATAATGCCCTGATATGCTTACGCAGACTTTCATTTTCTCTTCTCCAGAGAATGTCAGTTTTGTGTGAAGTAATAATTGACCTGTTATCCTGTCTAATTGGAATTTCTTATGAGTGCTTTTTTCGTAGTTACAAGAGCAGAGAAATTACAAGCATTAAAATAGAATTAAGTGTATAGTCTGAAGTTTTAGTTGTTTTCAGATCTGTGCTGCACTGCCACAATATGAACTTAACAGATTCACACCTTGCTTATATTTTCTGATGACCATAGTAGCTTGAGGGCACTTTTGTCCCAGTAATATTTGTCCATACAACTTAAAAGACTCCATGTAATGGATGTAAAATTATTTTTATTATTATATAAATATTACTGCTGTGTGATTTTTATAACATAACATTTTGAAACTGCTGTTTGAGGTTCCAGAATCTGAATGCAGTTGGGTGCTTGTGAACAATTTTATTGATATCTATATAATACCAACATTATCACTGGAGGAAAGTAGATACTCAAGTATTCAATTCAGTATTATTAAATGATATATCAGTCTGTCTGTAATTTATTGAAGGAACTGATGATTGTCCATACTGGCATACAGCAGTGGAAGTTTGTTTGCTTAATATATCTTTTAAAACTAATTTGCCTTCAGCTCTCTTCCAGTGTTCTCAAGTTACCTCAGGAATAAGAAGCCTAACATGTAACTCAGAGATTCCTGGTTTTAATCTGTTGGCTGTCTTGACATTTTTTCTTTATTTTATTCTTTCCTTGAGATGATGTGACCTGTCTCTGAAGATGGCTGTCTTCTGGTTTGTTGTGCTGTAATGGTTGACATTTTAGAGGTGCTTGCTGCCTCCATCATTAGGTTACAAATTTCCAGAAGATAGCCTTCTCTATACTTACTGTCATGCAAACGTAAAGTCTCAAAATAAGGGTATTACATTATAATGAATTCTTCTTGGGCTACCAGGCAAGTCTGGTGTTTGAGAGGTGTGTAGCCCTAGAAGGATTCATTATACTTTGCCACCATAAAAGTGTCAGATCATACATTGTATTACATTATGTAGATAGTGTCAGAGTATTTCTAGTACACACAGATTGTGATGTGTGCCCCTTATGTTTCTGTATATTTTGATTCTCAATATCAATCCAGGGATAGACAACTAGTGATTCACTGACCATATGTTTCAGAACCCCATGAAGTTTTATTACAGTATTTTCACATTAAATTTATGTATAAATCATGAAGTTCATTGGCGTGCAATGCATAGTGGGAGGATGCTGTATTAATTTGTGTAATGTCTGCAAATTAAAATAGCAAGTCACTCTCATAGCCTTATTCTTTAGTTCATCTGTGCCTTACAGCTTTCAGAGTATCCAGCGTACTTACATATTTAAGTGTTACTGTATAAGATGCAATAAATTTAGTATCCTTATATTTTGCTTAATTTTGTTTGTCTGAATGAATTTTGTATATATTTAATTTCTATCTCGTCTTAACACCATTCATATCAGAATTACTATAAATTATAACATTTACAATTCTTATGTGAATCCTATGAATCCTAATGTGAAAATTTCTCCTAACATCATATTGTGTGTGTAACTTCATTCCACTATGAAGAGTATCCATTTTTTATCTTTCCTGAATCATTTCCATGTTGGCCTCTTTTTGCCTGTATATGCATACTGAGTGACCAACTGCAAGTCACATGTGACTAAGGGGATAGTAAAAATGTATGAGTGTAAGGACAGTAATTACAGTGAAAGTATTAAAATGTTGTATTTTGATTATGGTAATATCCATAGTTCAGAGTGCATTAATTTAAAACAAACTTGGCTGGTTCATATTACACTGTGTTGTAGTTTCATACATTATCAACTGTTGCATTTGGATGACAGATTTTAATAAGATTTCAAGTATTAGCAGTCAACAAAAGACATCCAGTGGTTATACTTTATCTGCTTGGGCTGTTGTGCTGGATATTTGTGATGCAAAAAATCCACACCTAATTGTGTTGCACATCATGTATTATAACTTGAAGCTGAAAACAGTATTTTAACTAAGTTGTGAAGTGTTTACCCAACCAAAGCTGTCCAAAATGTTTATGAATGTTGTGATATTCTACCTATGACACCTTGCTTATTGAATGGTATATTACATTACACTAAGAACATTTTGGATTGATTTGGATGAAATATTTGTACTTTTTGAAGAAACTGCTTAATTTCTACATTCACTTTTAAAAGTGGCATTTTGACCAAGTAGGATGAATAAAATTAAATTGAAATAAGTCACTCTGTAGTACTAGGGACCAGGTTTATAAAGTTGAGATTTAAAGTTGTCATGGTATGAGTATGATTGTCTTTTGGAATATTGCACCATGTAGTCTGGCGGAAGTAGACTGCAGTTTTATATCGGGGGGGGGGTTATTTGAGTTAATTGGATGGTATTAACATTATTACTGATTGGGGGCTTCGCAGTAGTTGCTACTTTGTTGTAATATTGGCGAAGGCACTTGGTGGCAGCACAATATGTTTATGACACACTGCCAACCTATAACTATTAGATGTCGATCTTGATGTTGGTGTTACTGTAGAATAAACGTCGATCTTAAGCGGGAAATGTGACAATACTTTACGTAAATATAATCAGAAATAATGAAACCATCAGTAATTCGTAGATTAGACGAAACTACTGTTAACAGGATAGCTGCAGGAGAGGTTATACAGCGTCCAGCCAGTGCATTGAAGGAGATGATTGAAAATAGGTTAGTTTCTTAATGTTTTGGAGGTTATGGGCTTTTGAAATAGAATAGCTTCACCACTTGTTTGATTAAATTTATTAACCTATTAATGTGCTATGCTAATAATCGTAAATGACGAACCTGTTAACTATGACACGTTTTCTCTTTTCTTTGATTTTGCAGTGTCATTTTGCAATTAGTGCTGATACACTTGCGAAAATATGTATATTTTTATGCGTGTCACTTATTTCGATGCAGAATGCATATAGAATCATGTGACTTAAATTTCTGTGTGCTCACTCATGCGTTAGTCTTCATGTTATTCAATATCGAAGGACAGAGAACTATAAAAGTGGAGAATGCGGATTGGGTTCCCATAAACTACGTTACTCTAATCTAACCTGGCCTGAACTAGCATAAAACGAAACAAAACTTAATCGTTGTGTGGGAGCGAAAGTATATTTGCATTTCAACTTATTTTTCAGTTTGGATGCCCATGCAAGTACTATACAAATTACAGTGAAGTCTGGAGGTATGAAACTGTTGCAGATTCAGGATAATGGAACAGGAATTAGAAAGGAGGATCTTGAAATAGTATGTGAACGTTTTACCACTAGCAAACTGGAGAAGTTTGAAGATTTAGCAACTATAGTCACATACGGATTCAGAGGAGAAGCCCTAGCCAGCGTTAGTCATGTAGCACATCTTTCCATTGTCACCAAAACAGTGGATGGACAATGTGCGTACAGGTATTTACACTCGCGTCAGACAGACGTGCACTCTGCCTCAGATGCCCATCTTTGTCATTGAGTAATTTAGTTTAGTGATAGTACTGTAGACTTGAATTTTAAAGTTATCTAGTTTAAATCATGACTGAGTTATTGTCTGTCCTGAGGTTTTTCTTGGTTTGTTCACATGCAGTTGTGCCTTATATACACTACAACTATATTGCAATCCTCATCATTTGTGTATGACTTTAAATATTGGACAATCAGCCATGTAAGTACAGATAAAGTGCAATGTTTTGTGGAAAGTATCCACAACAATGGATTGTAGCTCTATATTTATGTGGTTTGAATTCTTATATTTTCCTTCTTTTGGAACGTAACTGTTTTTTATGTGACAGAGCGTCATATGTAGACAGCAAGCTGAAGGCGCCTCCAAAGCCATGCGCTGGTAACCAGGGCACACAGATAACTGTGGAAGATCTGTTTTATAATATGTCCACACGAAGGAGAGCTCTAAAGAGTGTCAGTGAAGAACACAACAAGATAGCTCATATTGTGGAACACTATGCCGTCCATAATGCTCATGTCGGCTTCACTCTAAAAAAGCAAGGTGAAAGTCTTGCCGATATCAGGACTCCTCCGAACTCTACAGTTGTTGACAACATCAGAATTATATATGGGAACAATATTGCCAAGTAAGTGCATACATGTTTTAGAGGCTTGTTTCTGAAAAGAAAAGAGTACAAATATTAAAGATTAATGCATTCTGTTTGTGTTGTACCATATGGTACTAAACAGAAGACCACATTGCCATGATAACCTCAAAGCCTTCACCAGTTTCCTGTGCTTCTGTTGGCTGGTGTGTCGGGTCTGTTGAAATGAAAGTATTTTTGTTTACTGAAGACCTTCAGTATGGAAGTAGCATTGACATTTGTTGTCATTTTTGAGAATGAATTCTGGTGTCCTGATGCAGGGAGCTTGTGGAGGTGGATGCTAGTGATGAGACACTGAAGATGAAGATGAAGGGGTACATAAGCAATGTGAATTACTCTGCCAAGAAATACAACATGTTGCTGTTCATTAATCACCGACTGGTTGAATCTGCAGGTGAGTTTCCATGATCGTTCTTCTCAGTATCAGGCCTCTTCAGCTGAAACAAAGCGGAATGTATCCATCTTCTTCTGCATTGTTATCATTTTATCCTTCCTTCAGATTTGTAATTCTATCATGATTTAATTTCTCCTTTCTTGCTGCTGTAAGTATCATGGAACATATTTCATTTGCTGTTAATTTTCTGTCATCACTGATTAAAATTTAAGATTCACAAACAGTGCTTTATGTATCTGGACTGTTGTGTCATAATGACTAATCAGGGTATGAAATTGTATTTATGATTTCCAAAATGTTTATGTAACTGAATAAAATTTTTGAGAACTAAAGACCATGAAACTATTTACCACATCATGATGAGACTGGGGATATCCAATGATCCAGTGTGACTGAGACTGTTTTAGCTGTATGCCATGATTGTCAGGCAAGTGGCATTTTAATGATGCTGTGTAACTGACAGCAGAATAATGTGCTATGTTGCATTGTTCTGCGAGACTTCCTTGACCATTATTTGCATCTTTGACACAGTACTGTGTGTATGTTGGCAGCACTGAAGAAGGTGCTGGATCAAGTCTATAGTGTTTACATTCCAAAGAACAGTCACCCATTCCTGTATCTGAGCCTGGAGCTTGATCCCAGGAACATGGACGTGAATGTCCACCCAACAAAGCGTGAAGTGCATTTTCTGCATGAGGACTTGGTTCTTGACAAAATCAAGATGGCAGTGGAGAGCAAACTGTTGGGGTGCAACACGTCTAGGGTTTTCTATACACAGGCAAGTTTACACTTCAGTTATTAGCCAGCACAGAGGAATTTACTTGTTTGTTCTGTCTTACCTGTATATAAGAATGGAATTTTATACTGCCTTTAAACTGTTGTAGGTGGATGTTAACTTTGTGGTGTAATGGTTAAGTGATGTGATACTGTGATGCATGAGTGGACTGTGTACATGCTGTGATGCGCTGCTGCTGATAAAGGATGCTCTCCTTCCTATCATAGAAAACCAATTTCTTCTGTGGTCTAAAATTGTTGATAGTACTCAGTCAGCTGTTGGTTTTCCTTAAATATTTTGGTTTCCTTTTAGTCTTTCTTTGTGGTTCTGCAGCACTGTTCTTCAGTTTAATCTTATATTTACTGGTGTGTTTGAGTTCTTTTATAGCTACCTGTTGTCCTCCTGTTTCAATTTTATGTTCCTGCCCCCCCCAATTCACTTTTCGCTGTTGAAACAGTTTTGTGTGCGCTCATTGTTCCGATATTTTAGGCACGTCTTCCTGGCGCTAGTGTGCCCAAAGAGACTGCAGTTGGGGAGACAAACAAGACATATGCCCATCACATGGTGCGCACTGATAGCTCTTTGCAGAAGCTGGACAAATTCTTTGGCCCTCCTGCTGCCACCACTACTCCCTCTACTAGGTAAGTATGACACACTGCATGTAAAGTAAGTTGAGATGTTGGCTGAGGTTATGTTTATGGATATAACCAGCATTTTGAAAACAATTTATTATTTTTATCCTTTCCTTTCTTCTTGTATCGAAAGGAATACAGAGATAAATGATCATTACTTATTTCAAGGCATTATACCACCATTTCCATTGGATGCCCCATCCTCTACCCTCCTTTCACCATTCCCATTCACTGACATCACACTATATGCCGCAGCTTGACTCTGTACCCTAAAAATGAGGTTATGTGTTCCTCCTGAACATGGTAACTACATACAAGACTACACAGCATCACTACTCAGAAGACTATAATCTGTAATTTTGCCACTGTAAACCTCAAATCTCAGATATATTTATCACTGAACTGTATGGTGTTTCTGATGACATGTCTAATTTTTGGCATTTAAAGACATCATTTATTAATGTGTACCATTTACTTTGCAGCAAAGCTACAGATCTTGGCCAAGCAGATGTCAAGAGCAAAGAAACATCATCAGGATCAAAGGCAGCAAAGAGGTGGGTGTTATCAGTATTAAATGCTTATGTATACAGGAGAGGAGGTAATCAGCAGGGCAAAACACAGCACATTTTCATTTTACTACAAGGCAAAGACAAGACTCGCTTCTACAACATCTTACTATTCAGATTATGGATGTTGTAAAAGAAAACAGGTTGTATTTGCGCCTTAGTATTACATATACGAGAAAGTGGAGGAAGACGGCACAGAATGGATGCAACTGCAACTGGATGAACTTCAAGTTTCACCTCTTTATCCTTAATTTCACCAACTCTTCTTGTAGCACTACATTTCTACATTCAAATTCTTCCTAATATTCTAGTTTAAGGTTTTATGCTTTGTTAATTTCTTAACTCTGTGTAGAAGTTTTGTCTTTACTGCTCAAGCTGCAGAATAGTAGTTCAGAGCCAGTTTGCTTTGAATGTAGTTGCTCACCAGGGGAGCTTATGTTCTCAGGGTGGAGTGTAAGCTGAGAAGTGTGTTGGAACTGCGGCATGATGTTGAAGACAAGATGCATGTGGGGTTGAGGGAGTTGCTGAAGAACAGTACCTTTGTTGGTTGCGTGAGTCCTAAACAGGCCCTAGTTCAACATGAGACCAGACTGTACCTGTGCAACACTGCTCGTCTCAGGTGTGAACAATATGATGGTACTACATCTTATACTGTGTGTTGACTTCACTTTTATTATTAGGATCCTCAAAGGATGATGTGATGGGCAGGGAATATTGCATGCATGAGGTGGACTGCACTGTCCCTGATGATTGGATGGTGATGAGGGTGTGGCTAGCAGAACTTTCTGGTCTGAAACATGTATATACTTTCATTCTTATTGTTTTGCAGTGAGGAGCTGTTCTACCAGACGATGCTGTATGACTTTGCTAACTTTGGAATGATTAAATTTGCAGTGAGTACCATCTGTGTTTATTCATGCAGCACATCAGCAGTGCACAAAGCATCCCATATGTTATGTTGGTATGCATGTAGCACATATGTGGGAACAGGAAATTAATAAAACAGAAATTTGAACATTGTAGGATAATATTTTATTAGTTTTCATAATGGCACTTTGTGAATTAAATAGGTTATGTAGCATTGAATGGGAAGGTGATTATGAATTAAGTTATTTCACCAGAAGTTTTGAAGAAATATTGAGATAACTCATCCAAACCATACAGACAGAAGTGGCATTTGAGATACTTGATCTTCTGGTGTAGAATATTACTTAACTCTGTTGAATCCCTGTTTGTGGTGTTAGAATCCACTGCCTATTCATGAGATGGCACTTATGGCTTTGGATGATCCAGCATGTGGCTGGACTGAAGTGGATGGTCCCAAGAATGAACTGGCTCGATCCATTGAGGAGGTGCTCACACAGAAAGGACCCATGCTGGATGAATACTTCTCAATGATTGTTGATTCCACTGGGAACTTATGCAGCCTGCCACTGCTGCTTGGTGAGCCTGTTTCTTTCATGAAGTAGAACAGAACTTGAGGGTGTTTAGAACAAAGGGCTGAGCAGAATATTTGAAAGTCATGAACATAGAAAACAGTGTACTTGAGATTGATGAACTGCATTGTATGTGGTTTTCCGTCGGCTACTGCTTAAGTTAGCATCATTTTGTAATAAATTGTTTTCTGCCAGTGAAGTGTTCTTAATGCATACTAAGCTGTCCAAAGCATAGGATAGCTCCTTTTTCTGTCTGTGACTTAATTTGGCATGTTGCCTGCTCTCATCTGGATGGGAATTTACTTAACAGTTCGAATAAATAAATTAGGAAACAAATCACGATAATTACTTTTTTGTACGTAGATTATTTGTAAGTGAGATTTCAGATTCTTACAGCAGCAAGTATGAAGATGGCTGTCTTCAAGAGTGTTTCTGTTTCAGACCAGTACACGCCTGAAACACGGGGTCTGCCACTCTTTATAGTGGACCTCTCAACAGAAGTAGACTGGGATGATGAGAAGGGTTGCTTTGATAGCTTCTGTCGAGAAACTGCACGGTTTTACAGCAAGCAGCTTGAGTCAGACTGCTGGGAGGATGGGCAAGAAGACAGTTTGTCACAGGTAGACATGTCAAGAACTCCTTTAATGCTCTTGTTCTTTGGTTTTCTGTGGTGAAATATCTGCAGATGGGCCTTCCTACTGTCCAATTCACAAAGCAGATAAGCCTTGGATTTGGTACAAGGGAGTGTCTGTGGACTCAGATAGGTCATCTTCCTTTAGCCTCATTCTTCCTGTCTTTTGTATTTCTGTCCTTCACCCCTGTTTCTAGAAGTGTGGCTTACAGTTTCTCTCTCTTTCTTTCTTTCTTTCTTGCTCAGGACCTGACATGAAATTCAGTGCAGTGAGAACATGAAACATAATTTGTCCCTGCCCGTGTTTTTAAATACATTTAGTGGGCTGTATGGTCTAATTTTAATTTCAGATAGAGTTGGATGACAGACGGGACCTCAGGTGGGTGGTTGAGTACGTCATATACCCGGCTCTGCGTCGCAGCTTCTTGCCACCAAAGCAGTTCGCAGAAGATGCCACTATTCTGCAGATTGCTAACCTGCCAGATTTATACAAAGTGTTTGAACGCTGTTGAGTTATTGTTTCATCTGTAATTTCTGTATATGGACATAGGTGTATAAAAAATAAAATACAAAATGAGTTTGCTTGGAAACTACGTACAGTGTATGCTCACATTTCACCCATTTACTTCCTTGTGTCCCTACCATGAGAGGTTTAAGAATGAAATAGTGTTATTACTATGAACTGGATTGCTGGATTTTAGTGAGGACAGAGATATTTTTCTAGGTCATCATGTCCAGACTGGGTGTGAAGTCCATCCAGCTTCCTATCCAAAGAGTGCCAGAGGCTTCCTTCTGTGGGTTAAAGTGGGTGGAGCATGCAGATGAAAGTAATCACATTACTTCAGCTAGTGTGTTCAAGGTGTAGTGGTTAGGCAGAAGGACTTTGTTGTTCTGTACATCAAAGTTGAGTAGGTCACTTGTGATTTGTATTTGGGAAATCCAAAAAACAAATTTAGGCACAGAGAACAGCTATTCTAACATAGGTTTTGTGTGGTTTTCCTTAGTCCCTTGAGGTAAAACATGAAGTTAAGCCAAGATTGTCTTTTTCTCCACCCTTTTCTATTTATTATTCACTAATTAATCCATCATTCTTATTGACTATAGTTAAACAAACAAGAAGTAAATTTTAATCAAAAGTAGCCATTGAAGTTTATTTAGAATACTCGCCAACGTGAGAACCTAAAAGCTCGCGTCACGTTGGCAGTTCATTGAAGTATCTGTGCCTTTTGATACTCATAACCATGATCATTAGCCTCATGCATCATACTCCAAGGCCAGGATATCCAGAGTGCAGGAATATTGGGGAGGGAATGTTGTTTGCCTGCGAAATGCGCAAAACGTTGCGCATAGGTTTACGAAATATCTGAAGAATCTCTTCCGTGTTACGTTGAGATGTTTACCATAAGAGGAAATAGTTTAGTGTATTTTTTAAAGTGAATAAGTTCATATTTTACTTTTCAACATTCAAGTATGTAGTTAATACATAGAATATTGTGCCTTATATCAGTTCGATAAGATTTGTTGCTCTGGTTTACACCTTTGTAGCCTCGGACACATTCAAAATGTTACGATTTTTGAGCCGGAGAAGAGGGCGGAACGCACAAAAAACCTCAACACAAGTCAAATCTGGATCTCAGCGACTCATTCCCAATAAACACCTTGTTCAGTGTAGAGTTATACTTTTAGATGGTACCGATTTATCCATAGACTTATCTGTAAGTATTACTTTATCTAGACTTACCTAATACATAAGTTCAGCATTCAGTGTTATTAACCCCTACACTTTCAGCAGACGAGATCTTTGCGTACCAGTCAGCAGTAATAAATTTCACGGGTGGTATAGTATCGGACAAAACGTTGTCTTTGTGACAGGTAAATTGGAAACACCAACTGGAGAGTAAAATTCCACATGCTTGACACAATGTGGTAAGGGGTGTGATATAGAATCTTCATTACTTTGTTTGTCAGGTGTGGGCAATACCACTAGTTGAAATGGCTTGGCTTTCCATTTATTCAGATTAGTAGACACAGTAGGTTTGGAAACAGTAGTTGCTTGAGCGAGAAGGGAGGGAACACTACTATCAATGAGAAATTATGTATAGAAATTTAAACAAAAATTTAGCCTTTGATTCATATAGGCTGAGTTGTATTTCTTTCAGGATGCTGTTGAATGATTTATAGCAACATTTATATTTAACTCTCGGTAGACTTGTATAAGCAATTACTGATCATATGCCCTGCTGTCTGGTCAGGTTAAAGAGCGTGAGAATTACAATCATAAAATAGAATTTATTTACATTCCATAGATCTTTCAGTATTATTTAGTGACATCAGCATGGGATGAAACACACCATTTTGTATTGTTACATTAGGTTTCTTTTGGACACAGTGTGGTCTTGTAGATGGTTACTTTCTTCAAAAACATTGATAATAACCTACAAGACCACACTCTGTACCCACTGGTTAGGATGGGGGTATGCCAGTGGTGGTGGAGTAAGAAACCTCTGCCCCTGCCATGAATTGAACTGAAGTTACCCAGTCAGCATGCCGACTGAGCCGTCCCAGCTAGTTCTATTACTAGTGCTCCATTTTTATCTGCCTGTTTGAATATTACAGGTGCCACATACTCATGGGATTGTATAGTTCTGGAAAGGAATGTTGTACATTCATTCTCTGAACTAGAAGTAACTTTTTTTTTGTGTGTGTGTGTGTGTGTACCAAGAAGAAGTTAACTAAGAGGAGAATATTTGATGTTACCTATTGACCAATTTTACAACATACGAGTTTGCCCAGTATTGTTGGTGTAATTAAGTGAAGTGGGGATGAGTTGATATCAGAAGTTGTGAATCATGTGGTTCTCTTAACAGAGGCTTACTACAGTCCCACTGAAAATGGTATATTAGTAAAGTAACTGACTGTGGGCTGAATGGAAATTTTCCTGTTTGCCACAGCATTTAAGCTTGGTTCTACCCAGTCTCCAGTTCACCGGGCACCAAGGGTTCTTTCTGTAAGACTAAAGCATCAATAAATTGATCAGTCACTTCCATAGACTGCCACAGTCTGTAATGCATGGCACTGTAACTCCACAGCTTCTATATTTCTTCATGTAACTGTGTTTTAAGTCTAATATGTGATGGTGCTAGTAGGCCAGTAGTTTCATTAGCTGGTTATTTTCTCAGTTGGTAATAACAATTGGTTCCTTGTTCCGTAAGAACGGGTTCTTGTCTAACGTGAAGATGAGGTCAATGGCATCGTGTACTTGCAGAACAATCACAGGAAGCTAATTCAGGTTCACTTAATGAAGAAGTGTTTTATGTTGCATTCAAACATTGGCTGCTTATGTCACTGTTCAGCAAAGTATCGTGTTGAATGGAAGCATCTTGTGAGAACCACATACGTTCTTTCTTCCTGATGATTCACATGTTGCTCTAATTGGTGCATGCATTGAATTCTTGTTGCTTAATGTAGAGTACCATTGTTTTTAGTGGGAAACCTTCTTAACTGAGCAGTTTATCCCAGTGATTTCACCAAGTTTTTTAATGATGCTTTATTAAGTCCATCTCCTATGCAGCATTGGATGTCAGGATGGTTAAGAATTGGTATAGCACTGAAAAAATATAGTGGAACCTCCATTACACTGTTTAAAAAAATACAGTACAGCCTCTTGTTCAGTACAGCACAAAATCTAAATCACATCTAATCTGTCTCACAGAGTATATCATAGCAACTCAATTCTGGACTGCAGTTTAGAGTCTAATGTTGCGTGTTGCAGAAAAAGGCTGTTGGTGGTGACCTCTATGAACAGGTATTCTACTCTCTAGATCTCATCGAGAAGGACTACTTCGGACTGCAGTATACAGACGCTAACAATGTTCAGGTAAGCTACTTGGGCTGTCAGGCTCTGTTGTAGTAGCTTGTAGCTCCTGCAGAGTAAATGATGATTATTTGTTGATTTCTGGTTTATTCAGTGACAAAATAAAACAAATGGACATATGAAATTTCTTTGTGTGGTTCTTGTGTGTTTTGAACTCATTGTCATTTGTGTTTCAGCATTGGCTGGATCCTACAAAGGCCATCAAGAAGCAGGTTAAAAGTAAGTGTTTGTCTGCTTGTGAATGTGGAATGGAGGTGCTTTTTGACCTCGTTCCATGCTTTTACTAAAGTTGAGTTCTTTGAAATTGGTAGATGCCAGTAGCAGAAAATGGTAAGCAAATAAATATTGTTTAGGCAGACTTTCCAGTGGTATGTGTGGTTTTAGGACAAAGTGCTGAGAACATGTGGACCTGAAAAGGAAGAATCGGCAGAGAAAATTATACAGCAAAGAAAGATCTTCAGAGTTCTCTAGTCATCATTTAATTTTTTTCAGGACTGTCACATTGAGAAGTCATGAGATGATTGAAGTATGTAACATGACTGGGGGAAATGAAAAATGTGCACAGAATTTTAGTTAGAAAAACATGAGGGAAGGGTTAAAGTGTCTTGTGCAGGTTGATCAAAAGGTTAACAGTCTGTCCACACAACAGCAGAGTGTAACAGTGTTATTTGGATGATGACTCATGGGATATATTGATTACATGTTGCATGTCATTCCTATGATACACTCTTCCTGTACAGTCATTCTCATAAGTATTGATTGGTTGGATTGTTGTCTTTTAGTAAAAACAAAATGCAATCGGTTGTTCTGTTTTCACTATTTTCCATGCATCTTTTATGATTTATATATGAGTGTATCATTTCATTCCTGCACATGTGATTTTTTTTATCGTGAAAATTGCCGAATGTTTTCTTCCTGCGAGATTGACCAAAAATTTTATGTGCATTTTCCAACTTCAATCTGCTGTGTTCTTGATGTATGGTGAGGCAGTCTGCTGTTGTAATTTGAGCTGGTAAGAGGATAGCTGCCAGAATGGCTGACCCTCCCTCATACGTTGTGATCTGGTATCAGACGATTCACATTCTCGTCTGTGAATCTGCTCTTATGGCTGCAATGTATAGTGTGATAATACATTTATGCTATACACACATGCAAACAGTCTCTCTCTCTAATGTTGTCGTGAACCTCAACAAGTTGTTTGCTCTCATATGAAGAAATGCAAACACATTACTTTCCCACATAATCTATTGGAGAGATGTTATTTTCTGTGTAAAAAGTGAGGCTGTTGAAATGTGTGTCTTCAGATAAAATTTTCTTGTATTTAAACCCATTTAGCATAATTTGTCATTTTTTTGCTTCTACGCATGTGTGTGTTTCACGAAACCAACGTTAGCCATGTCTGGTTATAACACCCTTTGTATTATCATGATAAAACAAAAAGAAAACTAAAATGTGGACAGTAATTTGTTACATTCTGTACTGCCTTCAGGAGAATATAGTAATGATCTACTCTGTCTTCTTCTGGACTGACAGACCTTGTGCAAGGATGAGGAGCTACTCAGTCGAAGTTCAGAGAGCCTAATAGGTTTCTTTATCATCAGAATTTATTTTGATGCCCTGAATGCTTGGTGGGCAGAATGTAGTCAGCTATGGTTTTCTTGTCATGTGTGAGTTGCTGCCTGGCCTTGAATGTATTCAACTCATGTGTCAATGTATGGCTCACATGTTAACAGTGTTATGACCTTGGGGCCATCTGTGTTAGGTAGGGAGAATGGGTGGCCCATTGTTAGTTTGTTCCTCTTTTTATCTCATTTTTCAGTCTTTGTTTCCTTCTTTGTTTGTCTCTTTTTCTTTCTTTGATGATAATTATTATTGGGCCGCCACGGTGGTCTAGCGGTTAGAACGCTGGCCTTGTAATCCTGGGTCTCGGGTTCGATTCCCGGCGGTGCCCGAATTTATAAC